ATGTCAATACCAAGAGTAATGGGTCAGAGTCAATTTGTTAGATTATGTTTTGGCATAAACAATTAGAGCATTTATCCTTTGGTTATTTCCGTTTTTTTTTTGTTTCCAAAGTTGTTTGAGTCTATTAAGTTATCTAGTATAGAGTGTGAAAGTTGTCAACTTAGAAAACATTGTAGACATTCTTTTCAATCTAGTAACAGAAGAAGTTCATCACTTTTGATATTATTCACACAGATGTTTGGGGGGCATATCACATTTTATCCACGGGTGGCTATTGTTACTTCCTGTTGTTTGTGGATGACTACTCATGATACTCTTGGATATATTTGCTGAGGTCTTGTGATGAGGTACCCCCTTTGATATGATAGTTTCATCAGATAGTTCTCGTACAGTTTGGGGTGAGGACTAAGGCTTTCAAATTAGACAATGTTAGGGAATATTTTGAAATGAACCTAGAATCTTATTTATTGGAGCATGGGATAATTCATCAGAACAATTGTGCATAATCACCATAGTAGAATGGAGTAGAAAAAAAGGAAAAACAAACATATTGTGGAGGTGGAAGAAGTCCTATGGTGTGTGCTTTAGTTCCTATTTGGTTTTGGGGTGATGTTGTCCTTATAGATGTCTATTTGATTAAACGTGTACCTTCTCATATCATTTTGTTTAAGGTATTATATAATCATTTTTTTTTCTCTTAAGAGGGAGATGTTTCACGTACCTTTGAGAGTCTTTGGGTGTATTTGTTTTGTTTATATTCTTAGTCTTCACCATAGTAAGTTGGATCCTAAGGCCAAGAAATTTGTCTTTCATGGGTATGCTCAAAACCAAAAGGGATATTATTGCTACGATCCTATGTTAGGGAGTCAGTTTATCACTATGGATGTCACCTTTTTTGAGTTTGTATCTTTCTTTTTTAGTGGTTCTCTTTAGGGGGTGTTTTGGGGAGGAAAGTGAGCATTCTATTCCTCTTCTTGTCTTTACACTTGCTCCTTTACTTACAGTAGTTGCTCCTGCTCCATTGTGGCCTGCTTCATAGTTCTTCACACACTAGCATAGGAGGGTTGATTCTACACATGCTCCAACAGGGGAATCCCCACCACTTCCCATTGGCTTATTTGAGATTCTAGGTTCAGCTGATGCAGATCCAGGTATTTCTCTTGTTCCTACTCATATTTTTGTTCTTATTTATGATATTCCTATGCCTAACACCTCTGATGCAGATGAGTTTGATCTTCCCATTGCTCTCTGCAAGGGGAAGAGAAAGTGCACAACTCATTGTATCTCACACCATCTTTCTTATAGTAATTTATCTCCCTCCTACAATGCCTTCCTTTCCCTTAATTTTGTGTCTAAACCTTGGAATGAGTGAGGCTCTCTAAACCTAAGTGGAGGACAACCGTGTAGGAGGAAATGGAAGCTTTGATAAAAAATCAGACATGGGAGATTGTTGATCTACCTATTATTAAGGAGATAGATGTAGGTGGGTTTTACTATAATGTATAGGGTTGATGGCAGTATAGAGAGGTATAAGGCAAGGTTGGTTGCAGAAGGGTATATATATATATATTTATAAAAAAAGGGTATACATAGACCTATTGGATAGATTATTTGTAGACCTTTGTCCTTATGTCTAAAATGAGTTCATTTCGGGTTCTCTTGCCATTGGCAACTACTTATTCATGACTGCTCTTCTAACATGATGTTTAAAATGCCTTCCTCAATGGTGATTTGTAGGAGGTGTATATGGATCTTCAAGTCAGGTTTTATGATGATGTGGATGGAGGAAAGGTGTGTAGATTAAATAAGTCCTTATGTAGCTTGAAGAAATCACCCAGAATATGGTTTGACAGGTTTATGGGAGCATTGATTCGCTTTAGATACACTGACTCAATGGAATCATATGCTCTTAGTGAAGAGGAGAGGATCACTTGTATCAGTATTGATTCTATATGTTGATATTGTAATTATAGGAAACGATTGAGTGAGATTGATGCCCTAAAGAAGTAATTCCAATAGGAATTTGAAATCAAGGATTTGGGTGGACTGTTTCTAGGTATTGAGGTTGCAAGATTCAAATAAGGGATCTTCATCTCCCAGAGGAAGTATGTGTTGGATTTGCTATAGAAGACTAGGAAGCTTGGAGTCAAACTAGCTAATGCTCTTATTGATTAGAACCACAGGATTAATGCCTCATATGGTGAGTTAGTGAAGGATGTAAGGAGGTATTAGAGGTTGGTGTGCTGCATGTTGTTTTTGTGCACGACACATCTAGATATCTCTTATGCTATTAGTGTTGTGAACTAGTACATGCATGTTCCTTGGGTTCAGCATTGGCAGCCATTGATAGGATTTTTGCCTACCTAAAGAAACTTCTCAGTAGAGGAATATTGTTTGCTGATCATGGGCACTTGAAATTAGAGGTCTATACGGATGTAGACTGGGCAAGGTGCTTAGATGACAGGAGATCTACATCAGGGGTTTGCACCTTTGTAGGAGGCAATATGGTCTCATGGAAGAGTAAAAAAAACTAGTTGTGATTAGGTCAAGTGCAAAAGTAGAATATAGATATATGGCTCATGGTGTCTCAAAACTTCTTTGGATCAGGTCCTTGTTAGGTGAGCTTGGATTGTTATTGAGGAACCTATAATGTTGTATTATGATAATCAAGCCGCAATCAACATCACCCATAATCCAGTTCAGTATGATTGAACGAAGCATATTGAGGTTGATAGACACTTCATAAGAGAGAGGGTAACATTGGGAGAAGTTTGCCTACCATATGTTTCTTTTGACTCATAGTCAGCTGATGTCTTTACCAAGGGAGTTACAATTTACAAACAGCAAGCTGGAATATGACCTACACAAGTTGGAAATGTGTGACATTTGCTCCTAATTTGAGGGGGAGTGTTGAGGAATCACTATTATTTGTTTATTTTATTTAGTTAGCACTGTTGAGCCCAAGGCCCATTAATTTAGTAGTTCTTTAAGTTGTTGACAGTAGCTTCCCTATTAAGGGCATATTGGACATTGTATACTTCTTATTTTCTTAAGTATAAAAGCTAATGGGAGAGGCAGCCATCACTTGATTGGATTCTCTCATCTCTCTTCTTCCTCTCTCAAAAATCTCTTTCCTCTTTCTCTTCTTTCTTTACTATTATATTTGCTGTTTTCTACTGATTGGATCCAATTAAAATTCCAAGTCTGATAATATTAGTATGTATGTGCATATGTATATATGCAATTTTCATTCACAAAATTGGTCAAATATCATATTTTCATTTGGGTTCATAAATTAAAGCCTTGTGGAAGTTATTTTTAATTCCTTTGATAATAATATATAATGTCTAAGTCTTTATCAGAAGAAATTTTTGCCCTTCAGCAAGGATTAAAGATTGTAAGGAATCTGAACTTGAGACGATTAGAATCATCAAAAAAAAAAAAAAGAGACAGTTAGAGGTGGAAAGTGACTATTCTGGTCATTGATGGATGGTTAACAACAGTGATGGGCCATGGATTTTCAGACAAGATTTAAGGGAAATAAGGAGATTAACAGGTGAGGTCAAGGCTACTTTTAAATGGATTGACAGATCAGAAAATGCATTGGCAGATACACTAGCAAAGCAAGGGTGCATAGGGATCTATCAAGTTTTTGTGCTAATTTATACTCATACTTGTGGGTTAACTTGGATTGGGATCCTTGCACTTCAATTTTTCTTAATTAATTCAAGTTTCTGGTTATCTATCAATATATGTATGTATATGTAACTTTTTATTTTAACTAATTAATGATATGGGAAAATCTATGATGCAGAAAATATATGGTATGGAAAGAGTTTTGACCAATCAAAACCCACCCATGAATTTTGATAAATAACACCTGATTGGCTACCACGTTATGACTCCAATTGACTGGTCAGAAAATTTTCAAATATCATATCTTTTCCATATCATAGTCGAACCCTAATGATATATACTATCGAAACTGGTTTTTGAATCTTGATGGATATAGATTGGTCTGAATCTGAATAGGATCAATTCAAATTTTGGTAAATATAATCTGAATTCAATCTGTTTACATCTCTAGATCTAATGATACATCATTCATGAAACTTCCCTCTAGAAGCAGTTCTTTTGTGTTTCTGTTTCCTGCTTTATGTCAGGTGACTAGGCTTTTGTTCTTCATTTGCTAAAAAATAACCAAGAAATCAATACTTTTTCCATATATTCCTTAATTCTTATTTATCATTTCTATTGAATGAATTGAGTTCATAAGTGGATTATGGAGGTCATTGCTTTGTTTAATGGTATAATCTCAGTCATACAAAGCGTGAGAACATGGGTTTGAGTGTGAGACTGGTCACTTTGTGCAAAAATACCAAAAATTGGTCTATATCTAGTTTTAGTTCACCCCTTCCAAAGCCCCTGATAGCCAGGAGCAACATTGGATAGTGTCCTTTTTATCAGTAACCATAGTCCATGATGATACTAGTTAGAAGGTTTGAGTGAATTGCTGGAAATAAAATTCATGAGGAGATGCTGGCAAGGTTTTTGATTACAATAAACTTGTGGGGCCATTGCTTGGTTTGATGGTAATTCTCAGGCTGGCTAGTGAGTCCACAGTTCAAGTCCAAGAGTAGCCACTTCATGCTAAAAATTCCTAAGGCTAGGTCTGCATCCTGTCCACCCCTCCCAAGCTCCTGGATAGCTGGGACAAGCAATTGTTTCTAAAGATACAAAGTTTTGCATGAACTATGATGTCTATTCTAATGGTTAAATGATGAGAAACACTTGAACAGAAAGAAAATGTAGCTTCTTATATGCCTTTTGGAGGTTGACTATTGATGCTCAAATAAGCCTTGTCCAAGTTCCCTGCTATGGTGTTACCTTTTTGGAAGTGGATAACATATGCTATTTTTGTCTTAAATTCAATTCTTACTTTTATCTCTTTGATTTTCCTTTTGAGTAATCTCTCAGGTTTTTGGTTTCATTCTGAACAGGTGGCAAGCACATAGGTGGTTGTACAGGTGCGTCTTTTTCAAATATAATAAAAAGAAAGGAAAATGACAACGTTGTGAGTTTTCTTATAGGTTGCTTAAATAACTTGGATTGGGACTTGAAACAAAGTCTACTTGGGCAAAACAAAAGGGCTAATATCTATCAAAAAAATAAAATAAAATAAAATAAAAGGGCTAGTAAGAATGTCTAGAACTCAAATGAAAAAGAGATAAACAGCTTCCCGTTCTTTTGGACTTCAATTTCAGAACTACATTTGATTTTTCATGTTTTCTTTATTCTGCACAGATACTGTAAAATTATACCGGAAAGGTGAACTTGAAGCTTTACTGTCTGAGGCTAATGCCATAAGCACTCAGAGCTAGTCACGTTGGAACAATGTTGCCAGGAATATTGGTTCCCATTGCCACTACGGCCTTTGTAACATGATATGTTGTTTATGCTCCATAAAACCAAGTTTCTTGATTAATATTAATTTGATGCCATGTTGCAGAGCTGATGGTTATATATATTGAATCCATTTGATTAAGCCATTGTGAATTGATCCTTTCATGGATCCATGTCTTTTAATCATGATCTCAGCAGCAACCTGAAAACTTGCTGCTAATTTCTCTACTTCTGAAAACCTTGTTACTTGCAACAGGGGGCATATTTGTGAAGCTAGTTTTTTTTTTTTTTTTTTGGCATCTGCCATTTTCTTTTTCATTTTTATTATTTGTCATATATGCTAATTATGCAAGGCTTAACTACATTCCATTTCAAGCATTTCTGACATTGCATTAAAAGAACTTAGTTATGTAATTTCGCTTCTGTTAGTGTCATTTAGCCAGTTATATACTGTTAACCTTGGCAAGATACTTGAAGTTGCCAACTTTTCATTTCCCTCATGTTCCTTGGAAGTGAATCATATATTGGACACTGGAACATTGTTTTGGTTTGAACTTTAGATGGGTCCATCCATCAGTCCAGGTGGTCTAACACATTGTCTGAGATGTATTAGAAAAGGAGTCATTTGAAAGAACCTAGAAGGCTAGGAGTAGCTCTTGTAGGTGATAAAATGAAAGAAGGTGGACTAAGATGGTTTAGTGATGGACATTGAAGACCATCCACAACACAACACAACACTGATAAGAAGCATTCTGTTTCTAGTTCAAGGGCCTAGAACTAGAGGTGTAAATCGGATCGGGCTGCCCGGGGCTTAGCATGACCCAACACAATTTTGGACTGGCCTGGCTTGACACGTCACGACGGCTAACGGGCCATGCCAGGCCTGGCACGGAGGTCTGTGCCGTGTTGGGCCAGGGGTTCGAGGCCCATGGGTCGACATGGCACGGCATGACAGCACGTGTCGTGCCACCCGTGGCCCGTGTGCTGGCACGGCACGAAGCATGGCCCGCTAGGCCCGTAATAGGCTGTGCTCGGCCCGCTCGGGAATATAGCTGTTGGGCTCCCTCCCAAAGGGGCCCAATGGCTAGTTTCAGCTTTTGGGGGGGTTTATAGAAATACCCCTCCAACAGCTATAAATAGCCATATTAGGGGGCTATTTTTGTATTTTGCTTATGGGGGTTGAAAAATGACATAAATGCCCCCCAAATAACTATATAACAACTAGTTTAGGGGGGCATTTTGGGTAAAGTTATAAGTAACTTTACAATGACCAAAATATCCCACCTAACAACTAAATAACAGATAGTTTTTTGGGTATTTTGGGCAATTGAATTATGTTCAATTCCTATAAATAGCCCTATCCTCTACCATTCTCATCACACCAATTCAACAATTCTATTAATTCTCTCTCTCTCTCATACTCATACATTCTCAATTATATGCAATATGAGAAATTCTAATTAGCTGATTATTTGATTCTGCATTCTCCAATTCTCGTCTCAATTTTATCGAAGTTTTGACTTTCAACAAAAGGAAGGCTTGCTCAACCAACTTAAGTATTTCAATTCGGGAGGCTTGGACGTTGAAAGGCTCCAACCGTTGAAATCAAGTTGTGATTTTGAACCAACAATCCGGGTAAGTCGAATTAGATTAATTTTTATCTTTTTAGAATTAAAAGAAATGGTCGAACCTTCTCAAAATCGATTCCCCAACATGTTCACCATGAATAACATTCAATCACATCACGATAGTATTAGTGTTAGCACTGATGCGCTTGATATCGATGGAACTAGAACTCTCACCCCCAGTAGTAGTAGTACTATGGGGAAAAGGAGGGCTTCTAAGTTGACTAGTCTGGTTTGGAAAATTTTCAAAGTAGAGGATATTAAGGGGAAGGGGAAAATGGTCGTTTGCCAAAAATGTAGGAAAGACTTTAGTTATTGTAACAAGGGTGGTACGGGTCATTTGAGCAGATATCTGCTCATGCATGAGCGAGGAGAAGGTGAAGGGAGAGAAACAACCCAAACACAGATTGGGAGGGGGACTAGTTTTGGTAATTTTAGATATTCACAAGAAAAAATGAGACAAGACTAGTTTTGGTAATGGTTGCGTTGTTCTGTAAACCCACAATATAAAAAGTTTATAGGAATACTGTAAGAACTTATGCTTTAAAAATTTTTTACATATAAATAAAATTTCTTTGTTAGCAAATCTTAATTCTAAAGTTGCAATTATTTCGGATGTTTGGACATCCAAATTTAATATTAGTTATATTTGTGTTACTGACCATTTCATTGATGAAAATTGACTTTTGGATAAAAGAATTTTAAGTTTTACTAGGCTGCATGCTTAAGGAATAAAAAACAAATTGTTTTCTATTAGTTTTGATTATGCTAGCAATAATGATTCTGCAATAAATATTTTAAAATCTCATTTAAAACCATGCTTAAATGGTAAATTATTTCATATTAGATGTTTATGTCACATCTTAAATTTATGTATTCAAGATGCTTTGCATATTATTTCAAAAATTAGAAATTGTATTATATATATAAAAAGTTTAGGGGCAAGAAAACAAGAATTTAAATATTTATGGCAAAATTATGGTTTAAAATATAAACAATTTATATTAGATGTAAAGCATAGATGGAATTCTACCTATGCTATGTTAGAAAGTTGTATATCTCATAAACATTTTTTTTAATTTTTATAATTTAAAAATGCCTATTGATTTGATATTTGAGGAAGATTGGGAAATGACGGTCTGTATAAAAGATTTTTTAAAACATTTTTATGATGCAACAAATGAATTATCCGAAATTTATTATCCAACTAGTTATAATTTACCGTATCAATTAGTGGTAATTAATGATTGTTTTGCCAAATATAGAAATAATCTACAATTTAAATGTATTGTTGAAATTATGGAAAATAAATTAAAAAAATATTGGGTGAACAATTCTCCCCTTTATTGTTCAGCTACAATATTAGAACCTAGGATTAGGAAATATGGTTTAGATATTTTACTTGAAACATATTATAAAAATATGAATATTGATATAGGAAATAAAAAAGAAGAAATTAATAATTTATTATTTGAAATGTACATTTGAAGTTGTAGGAAATATTCGTATAACTTGTTCATCATCTTCTTCTCCTGACTTTGAGCCTAGTAGTAGAAGGGAAAAGATTTTTTATTTAATAAGTAGAAGGCGGAAATCTGTTAGTTCTACAACAAGTTCATTTACTGAACTTAATTTTTATTTGCAAGCAATTTTTTTTTTTTTAATTTAGGTGAAGTTTCAAATAATTTTGATATTTTAACCTAGTGGAATGAACACTCGAAAAATTATCCAGTTTTCGCCACCATGGCACGTGATCTACTAACCCCTCTAGTGTCTACAGTTCCATTGAAGTCTTGTTTTAGTGTAGGTACCAGGGTGCTGGATGACAAAAGAAGCTATATGAATGATGAGAGCATAGAGAAGTGCATCTGCTTCAAGGATTGACTAGATGTAGAAGATAAATTACAAGACAAGGGAGGGCATGATACAACATCGAGCATTTCACTTGAAGTAGATGATGAAAGTCATGAATGATGATTCATGAATTTGACTACTTGTAGAATTTTTCATTTTTTCAAATTATTGTAAAATTTTTAAATTTTATTTAATTTATTTGATATATATTTTTTTAATTTTTTAACAATGTAATTTTGTATTTTCAATTTGTAACCATATTGTATTTTTTGTATTTTATTAATTTATTCCATTTTTATATTTCATTCATCCAAGTATGCAATTTTCCAATCATTGTATTTGTAATTCACTAATTTGTACCATTCAAATTTAAATGAAATAAAATTCTATTTTTCTTCCAATTTGTTATTCCATTCTTATTTCACTTTGGTTAAGCTTTTTTTTTATTTATGTATTAAATAACTTAGATTTCTCATTCTTAATTTTTTAAATAGTTCCTAATTCCCAAAGTTAATAGGAAAGTTAAATATTTTAGTTTTACAATTTTACTTAGAAAAGAAATCAAAATTTTCAAAAAAAAAAAAATAGTGCAGTCCAGTTCGGCCTAGGCCCAAGGCCTGCCCTGTGGCCCAGCCTGGCACGGCCCAGGCTCGCTTGTCGGCACGACACGGCACGGGTCCGCTTGGGCTTAGGCCATGGGCTGTGCCAGGCCGAGCCCCAAAATTTCCACTAGAGAGGACGGCACGGCCCGTGGTGGCCCGCGGGCCAGCACGGCACGACCCGACTTTAGGACAGGCTGCCCATGGGCCGTGTCGTGTCAGCTTGGCACAACCCACTTTACACCTCTACCTAGAACCTGGAAGGGCTAGGGGCAGACCAAAAAGGACATGGGCTGAAGTAATAAAAAGTGATTTAAATGTTCATAATTTAACATTGGATAGGCACTAAACAGAAGGGAATGGCAAGAAGGATGCCCCCCTATATAGTTGGGATAAGGCTTAGATGATGTATTATTAGCAAAGGACTAAAGAGTATAGGAAAAAAGAATTTGTATTTAAGTGGTGGAATACCATGGTACACTATGAGCGGACCCTTGATCAGTATTATGATGAAACTGAGCAACGTATGGAGAGCGGAGACCAAAGAAATTGCCAAGAAAGGATTGAAACTAATAAGAAAATAACCTAAAAAAAAGCTCTTAATAGGAATCTTTTAACTTTGAGGGCTTGTTCGTTTCCTCTTAACTCTTATATCTTAATAGGAATCTTTTAACTTTAAAAGAAAAATGATTGTTCATTTCCTCTTATCTCTTATCTCTTAAAGTGCATTCATACAATTTTTTGTTTTCCAATGATACCCCCAAAAAGACAAACAAAAACTCTCATATATGGAGTCAAAATAGATATTTGATAATTTTTAGAATTTAGAATTCAAACTTCAAAACAACGTTCTCTACATTCAGAATTCAGAGGAAAGAAAAGTTCACCAATACCAATATACCTCTTAGTGTAATTATTACACTTTCAGATGTCAGACTTCAGAGCAAACGAACAGGCCCTTTCAGTGGTGAAGTCGTGAATTTTCTATTGCACTTGATAGCATGCAGGGTTCAAAGTTTTAAGTATATTGTTCCTTTGAAATGTGCAATAATTAGGGGTGCAACTTTTGGGAATTTTGTCAAAATTTCAATAGGCAAAACCGAAGCCTGAGTTTACACTGTTAACTCAGGCCAACTTGACGACTTGCATCCCTAGCAATTATTGATAGTTTGATCATTGTGATCCACCAATTATATAGTATTGAACCAGGTCAGGTCAGAACTGGATCCATGCTGGTCTAGATTCATGCCTGATCTTTGCATGAAGTCTGTGTATCTGTGATGATGACTTGTATAGCAGATGTGTAATTTGGGTCAACACGGATTGAACATTTTCAAATGTTGACCGGGCTTGGTTCAAGGGTTTGGCCGATGCAGCAGAAATTCTTCAAATCAAGAATTCAAGATGTGCAGTCCACGTTGTTTGTATCCTGCCACTAACCTTCTAACTAGGATTGTATTTGGTATAATTGCTGTTTCTATAAAAACACGTTTGGAGTTTATCAATACAAAATTTGGAGAAATTGTCTTATCAAATCACATAGGATAATCACTTCTACTAAAATATATATAAGCATTCTATTGAGTGTTGGCATTTATAGTAGAAGCATCAAATTTGGCGTGGAAGAAGCATCAATGGTACCAAGTATTGTAGGGTTCCACTGATATAAAAAATATATGATATCCAAAAAACTTCTGACCAATCAACTGGAATCATAAACGTGGTAGTGAATCAGATGTTATTTATCAAAATTCATGGATGGGTTTTGATTGGCAGAACTCTTTCCATACCATATCTCTTTCTGCATCATAGATTTTCCCATGGTATTGATAGCTTAAAGCATTTGTGGTATAGAAAAATATATTCTCATAAAATTTGTATTGACCAACTAAAATGTTACAAATAGAAGTGACAATGGTACCAAATACAACCTAGGTGTCCCATCACCAATACCAAAGAAAACTTTGATTTTGTTTATATATAATATTTTTGAACATTTTCTTTATTTTATTAGTATTATTCAATGACTGATTGCAATCAGAATTCAATTCTAATCTGATATAAATCCAATGGATAAGATTTGATTCAAATTCAAATATAAACGAAACTAATCTGGACCTACCTATATCCGATTCAATTGATCCCCTAAAGCACTTTTGTAAAAGAATGGTAGCTTCAGAGATTCCGGTTTTGTATGATCATTGATGCCAGATTTTGCTTATTATTAATTCATGGATTCAAGCATTCATTCTATCTCAAGACCATCCAGTCATGGATTCACATACACATACAAAACAACAACAACAATAATAACAACAGAGAGACTAGTGATTGTATGAGATGGATTCAACAAACATCTCCCTTCTACGTCTGAAATATGCGAGCATTTTGTCGCGATCAGGAAGGTTGTCTTTGATTGCAGGGACTTGCTTAAAATTTTCCATCCATGAACACAGGCGAGGGAAGGCATGGGCTTCCACCAACTTTACTCCTGCAGCCTCTTCCAGCACTTCCAGCCAATGGGCAATCCATCCAAATCCTATATCTGGCAATCCAATGGTATCTCCACCAAAGAACTTCTTCTCTCCAAGGCCATGCTCTTCAATGGTTCTCAACACTTCCACAGCTTCTTTGACAGCTTTCTCCTGTTCTTCCCCAACAGTCCGAAAGAATGCATGGAATATGGGCCCCTACATGAGCAATAACACCAGATAATATTGAAAAGAACACAGAGAATTAAGTGAAGTTTGAGAATTCAGACGAGTTCAATTGATGACTTGATTTGGAATTTGATACAGACAACTAATTCATGTATCGGTTACCTTATCTTCTCCAAATTTAGTCCAAAACCGAGCCATGGCTCTGTCGTAAGGATCTTTTGGCAGCAATGGATGATCTGGCCAGGTCTCTTCAATGTATTCGACGATGACCATGGACTCTGCAATCGGTTTTCCGCGGTGAACAAGAACTGGGATCTTCTTGTGGACTGGGTTATACTGTAAGAGCAAAGGACTCTTGTTGGATAGATCCTCTTCTATGTATTCATATGGCACACCCTTTAGTTTCAGAGCCCATATTACTCTGTAACTAAAAGCGCTAGGAAAAGTTCCAAAGAGCTTCACCTCTTCCATGCTAATATCAATATGGAGGGCCTTCTACTCTTCTATATCTTGGCATGTTTATTTATATTGATCAAGTCTAGCTTGCTTTCTTAGGATCCAAGCTTCTAGTTTGACCATTTCTTTTTCTATTTCACTAAAAAAATGCTTCAAGTTTGAACTTTGAGGTTTTAACTTTCAACAACCAACAAAGAAAATTAAAAAAGGGAAGAAAAGTTAAGTTGAAGGCAACAGATACACCCTGCCCCAACTCCTGGAAAGTGAGGACAAATTTTGTCATCTTCAGGGACTAAAAAGAAAGGGAAAAGTACGAGCAGACCCATTGCAGAAATCTGAACAAGACCGATTCCCACGCCATGTAAGCATCACACTTCTACCCAAGCTTTTCATGTGACGTGGCAATCCAACTCGGATTACATGTCACAATAACATTTATTTAAAATTTTATTTTGAAATTTACCCCTTAAATTACAAAGACTAAAATGACCCTGTTAGGGCCCACAACCATTTTTCTCTCCCGCCTTCCCTGTTCTCTCTCTTTCGTTCTCTCACACTCGCAACTCTCTTCTCTTCGACTGCAGACGACTGAACGTCGGTTGCTCTCCCTCTCTCCTGTTCTCCCTCCTCGCTCTCACTCTATAACTCTCTCTCGTTCTCCCTCTGTCTCGCCCCCATTCTCTCTCTCTCTCTCCCGGTCTCCCTCCCCCTCTATCGCTCTCTTGCTCTCTCTTTGTCTCGTTCTCCCTCTCCCTCTGTCGACCCCACTTTCTCCCGTTCTCGCACCCCTTAGTCTTGCTCTCCCTTTGTGGCGCCCTCACCCTCTCCCTTTATCAGTCTCTCCCATTCTCCCTCTGTCTCGCCGCCATTCTCTCTCTCTCTCTCCCGATCTCCCTCCCCCTCTATCGCTCTCCTG